TTCTCCAACTACGATGGAATGATATTGGAAATTAATAGCAGCAAGAAATTTGGGAATTCACAAATATGTGGAAACTGAACAATATAGTCCAAAATAACCAGCAGGTCAAAGAAGTCACACGGGAAATAAGAAAATACTTTGAGATGAATGAACAAGAAAACACAACATACAAAAATTTATGGGATGCAACTAAAGCAAATGCCTAAAGAGAGATTTATAGCTATAAACGTCTGTGGTACAAAAGAAGTTCCCAAATCAATATCCTCATCTTCTGCCTTAAAACACTGGAAAAAGAACAGCAAGCTAACCCTTAAAGCAAGTAGAAGGAGGGAAATAATAATGTACAGAGTGGGAAATTAATGAAATAGCAGAAAAGCCAACAGAGGAAAACCTACAAAATCAAAAACTGTTTCTGTGAAAATATCAGTAAAACTGACAAATGTTTAGCTAGACTGCCTGAGGAAAAAAATAAAGAAGACTCAAAGGATTAACATCAGGAATGAAAGAGAGGACATTACTACTCACCTTGTGACAGAAAGGACTAGAAGGGGAAACTATGAACAACCTGCAAGCCAACCAATTAGATAATTTATATAAAATGGCCAAATTCCTAGAACAGACACAAATGACTGAAACGAACTCAAGAAGAAACAGAAATATGAAGAGACCTATCATAAGAGACTGAATTAGTACTTTGAAAATGTCTCAGAAAGAAAAGCCCAGGTGGTTTCGTTGGTGAATTCTACAAAATACATAAAGAATTAACACCAACAAACTCTTCCAAAACACAGAGGTGGACGGACCACTTCCCAACTGACTCTATGAGGCTAGCAGAATTACTCTGGCATGAAAACCGGACGAGGACTCAGAAGAAAACTATGGACCAGTATCTCTTATGAAGATAGGCAAACTCTTTAATGAAATACTAGCAAACCACGTCTATCAACATATGAAGATGATTGTACAATGTGAACAAGTGGGATTCATCCCAGGAATGAGGTTGGTTGAATGTCCAAAATAGAACGAAGGACAGGACAAAACAACCGGACCATCTCAGTAAGTGCCACACAATCTGACCCCCTTTCTCGATGAAAACACTCAGCAGACTGGGACTAAAAAGAACTTCCTCAAACTGATAAAGGATATTTAGGAAAAACCCATAACTAACATCATACTTAATGAGGAAAGACGGAATGCTTTCTTCTAATGTCAGAAATAAGACCAGAGTGTCTGTTCCCTTAGCTTCCATTTAACACTGTGCTGGAAGGGCTAGCCAGGGCTCGCAGGCAGAAAAAAAATTTTTAAAAAGGCACTCAGATTAGTTTCAAAGGAAGAAGCACAACTGTCTCTATTTGCAGACAACATGATCGTGTATGTAGAAAATCCTAAGGAATCCACGAAATAACTGTTTGAATAAACAGGTCCGCAAGGCTGCAGGAAACAAGGTCAGTACAAAATAGGAGTTGTAGTTCTATATACCAGCAACGAACAATCAAAAAATAGTTCTACTTCCAATGCTGCCCAAAAGAATAAGACATCAGGGAATAAATTAACAAAATAAATATAAAACTTGGGGCACCTGGGTGGCTCAGTTGGTTGAGCACCCACCTCGATTTCGGCTCAGGTCATGATCCCGAGGGTCATGGGATGGAGCCCCACGTCGGGCTCCATGCTCAGCGTGGAGTCTGCTTGAGATTCTCTCTCCTTCTCCTTCTGTCTCCCCCCCGTTCCACTCTCTCTCTCAAGTAAATAAATCAATCTTTAAAAAGCCTTCTGCCACTTTCCTCCAAAAAGATAAATAACTTATGCTTTGAAAATGATTTAAAACACACTTGAAAGAAATCCATTAAGATTTAACGGACATAAATGGACAATATCCCACGTTCAAAGATTTAATACTGGTAAGGTGGCAAGAGCCCCAAATTGATTTACATACTTTATAATCCCTGTAATTATACCAGCTGCCTTTCTTGCAGAACTTGACAAGCTGATCCTAAAATTCATATGGAAATGCAAACAATCCAGAGTAGCCAAAACAATCTAGAAAAAGACCTCCGTTGGAGGATTCACACCTCCCAGTTCAAAACTTAGCCAAAAAGCTGTAGTAAGTCAATATAACACGAGGCCCGACGATGAACATACAGATCAATGGAACAGAACGAGTAGAGAAATTAATCCCTGCATTTACGGTCAATTGAATTTTGAGAAGAATGGCCTGACAATTCAATGGGGGAAAGAAATGAAATGAAATGAAACGGGGGAAAGAAAGAAAAGTCTTTTCAACAAAGTGCCGAAGACTGAAGCTGGACCCCCTTCCTTACGCGAGACCCAAATATTAACTCAAAACGGATCATAGACTTAAATGTAAGAACTACAATTATAAAACTCATGGGATTCCACTTCACACCTAATAGGATGGCTGTCATGAAAAAGACAGGCGGGAGCAGGTGTTGGCAAGGATGTGGAAACACTGGAACCCTCCTACACTGCTGGTGGGACTGTAAGATGATGCAGCCGCTTTGGAGAACAGTCTGGCATGTCCTCAGAATGTTAAACACGGAGTTACCACATGACCCAGCCATTCCACTCTGAAGTATCCGCCCAAGAGAAATGAAAACATGTGTCCACACAAAAAGATGGACCAGAACGTTCACAGGAACATTATGCATAATAGCCAAAGAGTGGAAAGGACTCACAAGTCCACCAATTGATGAAAGAGATCGTAAAATATGGTAGATCCATACAATGGACTATTATTTGACAGTAAAAAAGAATGGGGTGCTGATACACGCCACAACGAGATGCATCTTGAAAACATAATGGTAAGTAAAGAAACGGGTCACAGGAGAAGACCACGTGGGAGGACAGGCAAATCCAGAGACAGGAAGTGGATGAGTGTTTCCCTAGGGCTGGAAGGTGGGAAGTAATGAGAAAGGACTGCTTGATGGGTGTGGGGTTTCTTTCTGGGGTGATGAAAATGACCTAACACTGAAGGTCATGATAGCTGCAGAACTCTATGCATATACTAAAACCCACTGAACTGGACACTTCAAATGGGTGAAATCTATGGCGTATGAATTATGTCTCATAAAGGTGCCAAAAAAAAAAAAAAAAGGCAAAGTGTTGAGCCCAGTGCCTGATGCACAGTACACCATGGCTTTAGCTATGGTTGTCTGTAAGATGCACTCTCCACCATCTCACTGTAGAAGGAGCAACTATGCCCTTTACGGATGTGCTGGACACGTGTCCTAGTCAATCACAGACGCTCTCCCAAAATGGAAATGTTCCCAATCAGGAGCGACTGGGCCCAAAACCAAAGCTGTCTCATGGAGGACCATAAGCAGGGAGTGCTCAGGGCCAGAGCAGCCCCAAGGAGGGTACATCTCCCTAATGCGCCCCACTGCCCTCTCCGAGTTAGAGCTGACCCATGGGGAGTTCCACGGAGCACGAGTCTCAGGAAGAGAAAGCAGCAAAACCACCCAAGAAGGGAATAGGTCATGCCTCCAGGACCAGATTTTGAGAGGGCAAATATGTAAGGGATGAAGGACTTTTTGGAAGGGCGGGGAGGGGGCGCCGAGAGAAGGACCAGGCAAAACAAAACAAAACAAAATGGCAAACAGAAAGGAAAATGGAGGTAGTACCGGGCTGATCATGCTGGTTAAAAAAGCAAAAAGCTAGAGTGTAAGATAGGATATTAAACCATGGTGATGGCATTTATTTACTTCCTTCTTCGTGCCCCAAAACACTCCTAGGAGGAGGTGAGGGGCAAAGAGGACTGAAATGTATATGCAAAGAAAAAAAAGTAAAATACTTTGTAAAAAAATCTCCAACACACTAATACCTTTCGTAAAGTCACCCTGTACCTTACTTCCAGGAGTTCAGACTGAGAAATCCACAGGCTTTAGATGATTGCGGCATTACTTAGAAACGCAAACATTAAAGATAGATAACATTTACCGAGTGCTTACCGTGGGCCTCGACTGTGTGCAAAACTCATTATCCTCTAACCCTCATCCCTCTCCAATGAAGTGGATACTACTTAAAAATCTCGTTCCAGTGAGGAAGAAAATGAGGCACAAAGGTTAAGTAACTTGCTCAAGAACGGAAAACTTACAAGTGGCAGAGTTGAGATTTGACATGAGGTTCCTAATTCCAAGAGCCTGAGATTTGCCACTATTCCAGTGTGTCCCAGCTATACCTCAGCGATTCACAAAACGGTTTTAGGTGGAATAAACTGGCCCACCCCATTTTACTACTGCTAGATAGTCAAGTAACTATATAAAGCTTTCTTTTGAAACAAGTATGTAAAAAAAAAAAATAGGTTAGTCAATTTTTAAAAAGAAAGCAGCATAACACCTGGAAGGGAATATAGAAAAATAAAAATAGGGGTGCATGGGTGGCTCAGATGGTTAAGCATCTGCCTTCGGCTCAGGTCATGATCCCAGGGTCCTGGGATCGAGCCCTACATCGGGCTCCTGGCTCAGCGGGGAGCCTGCTTCTCCCTCTCCCCCTGCTCATGCTTTCTCGATCTCTGTGTCTCAAATGAATAAATAAAATCTTAAAAAAAAAAAGAAAAATAGTCTGATTTTCCAAGGTGAAAATTTTTGAGTCCCTTTAAAAATCCTCCCTAGAGTCCCATAATTCTTAAAATGTTTATGGAAAAAATAAAATGAGCATTAAAAAAAGTCTTTTTGTTCTAACCCCTCAAAACCTGTGTAATTTTTCTACAAGTATATTTTCTATTTGTTTGTCCCACAAAACTTTAATATGCCCACCACTGAGCTCTCTCCCACTTTGGAGTGAGCTGCTTTTTCCCTCAGGAAGTAAATTCCTGGCATTTATCAGATCTTCTTTTTCTTCATTTTATCCTATCTTATCCTGAAGTTCCAAGACCAGGCCACCTAACTATTTATTCAAAGGCCCCAGAAACTTTTTGCAAGGAGAAGGGCTGCAGGGAATCTGGTAGGCATATGCAAACAGTTTTTCAGAGGCAAGGGTTACTATGCTACTCCTTGAGGCTTCCTCTGTATCTGATAAGCTGCCCACCTCTGGCACCCAAACAAAGAAACTCCACCTGGCAGAGAGGGAAGGACTCTGTGTTTCGTCCTGAAGATCCCCAAAGGCCAAAGACCTCGCCCAGGTACTTCTGTTTCCCACGGCCAGACACGTCCAATACACCAGAGAGAGCATGCAGGAGCCACAAAACCACCTCCGACTTCTCCAAACAGGGCACACATGCCAAGAGCTCTCAGGCCTTTAGGCAAGTCCCCTGATGGCCTCGAGGCCACTGTGCTTTCTGTCAACCTCCAGACGGCAGCCCTCACCCACCTGTGCATGTTCCCATTGGTGGTGAATGACTGGCCACACACAGTACATTTGTACGGCCTCTCGCCAGAGTGCACCAGCATGTGGCGGTCCAGGGAGCTGGCCGAACTCAGCGACTTCCCACAGATGCTGCACGAATGGTCTGCCCCTCCAGTGTCCGTGTTATGCTGGGGAAAGCGATCATCACAGGGGTCACTTAGGAGGATGGGTCAAAACTTGGCTATTATAAAATGCAAAGTCAGAGCTTTATACAAACAAACAAACAAACAAAACCCCAAACAAAACCAAAACAAGAAAACACTCAGTACAGCTTCTCTGATTTTTTTTCTGTCATTTTAAGTATCTTCCCAAATGTCAAAAATCTGTCGGGAACATAGGCAAACAACTATTTTGTATGATCTTCTTCCTCTTTCGTGTTCCAGTTTTGAAAAACACGTGTGCAAGGCTCAGAGAAAGGTGGAGCCTTTGCAGGTCTTTCTTGGAGACACACAGAGATTAACTGAGCACATATATTCACAGGAGCAGAAGGACCCTCGACTACGAAGCTACCGTGAAATACGGTCTTCACATTAAGGCCACGTCCATTCTTCTAGTTCGCTGACTCAGTCCTGCTGTCAGAGAAAGAGAACTGAAACCTGCACAGTTTGGAGTTCTGGCCTCTGGAAGATGTTAAAAGAAGGAACATTTCTATCCAAACCCAAGTTACTAAATGATGGTATTACTCAGTACCATGTTATGATTTTAATATCGTCAATCCTTCTCACTCATATGCGGAATTTAAGAAACAAAACAAATGAACAAAGGGAACAAAAAGAGAGAGACAAACCAAGAAATGGACTCTTAACTCTAGAGAACAAACTCATGGTTATCAGGGGGAGGTAGGTGGGGGATGGGGGTAATAGAGGATGGGGATTAAGGAAATGATGGAAAGAAAAAATTTAAAAAAACTACCCATTCCCACTCCAACTATATATATACATATATATGTGTATATATATATCCAATATATATACGTGTATATATATATATTCAATATATACGTGTACATATATATATTCAATATATATGTGTATATATATATTCAATATATATATGTGTGTGTGTATATATATATATATATATTCACTCCTTCATTGTTCTAGATTCAACTATACTTTGTCACGACACAGCAGGCAAGAGAGGAGGATAAATGTCCTAATATAGAAGCCCAAAGAAATCCCAGATTCCCTGCTGCATAATACAAGTTTATAGCCATATAAGGGATAGGGGGCTCCATCTACGATCTCACTGTACTGTGAAGAAACTTGGTTCAAACTGACAAGTCACATATGACAAAAGGTCTTCTGTTGTATGTGGTCAGTTAGCGAGATGTTGGCCGACGTCTGAAAAGGTATTCTACGTTGACCTGGGATTCTGGTCAGAGTAACGTGGACACACAAGACTTATTTCATAACCGCCCCTCAAGATGGTTCAAATAGTAAATCTAAATGGAGTACAGACACAATTCATCCGCTGAGATCAAACTGCCCTCTCTTAATGAAGAATGATTTCAAACAGAAATAGAAAATCGGCAGCAAACCTGACGGATGTGCATGGTTAGCTGGTGCTGTGTAGTGCAAATCTTTTCACACAGGGGACAGTTATAGGAAGACTTCTCCTCCTTCGTTTCCTGAAAAGACATAATACAAGGGAAAATCAAGTTCAACGCACAGTTAAGCCAGTGTCTCTTGTTCCTGATGTAAGCACCTGCATCTCAAGAGCCAGAGCAATAAATCAGCTGAGAACATGGGCTCCAGAGCCTGTCTGGGTACGAGCCTGTGTAAGTCACGGTCCTGTCTGCCCTGTTTCCTCAGGTGTCAAATGGGAAAAATAACAGCATCTACCACATTGCACTGAGATGAGGATTCAATCAATTAACACACACAAAGCACTGGAATAGTGCCTGGTACAGGGTAAGTATTCAATAAATATTAGTGTTTTTATCAAACACCATTGCATTAATCATCAGTGATGACGCCCCCCCCCAAAAAAAATCAAGGCTCAAGTCACAGCAGAGCTAGAAATGGAATACATTTCTCCCCAAGCCCTAGCTAGGCAGCTCCAGTCACGATTTTCTACCTGGGCTTGAGTGCCCCAAGCACAGTTCTCCTAATAAAACCCCATGCACCCAACAAGGCAAGGCTTCAGTGCCCAGCTGTGCGGCCAAGAGGCATCAACGGGACCCTCTTACTTGCTGCCTGCACCTGCCTGACACCACTCCTAAGTAGTAAGAATGAGAATGCTGCCCTTTCCCAAACCGTGACAGGGAATGACAACCCAAAATAAAGACTTCCACAGAGGGTGACAAAAGAACCAGCTCACGACTTGGTGAGGTGGCTCATTTTATGTTCCCTCAAAACACATGGGACAGGCTTCCTTCAAGCAACAGATTTTTACCTTTGTAAGGAAAGGGACGTGCTCCTTCATCACTAGCCATATGCTATGGCTCCTCTTTCCAGATAACTCATGAAGAGTCGCCCTCCTCACCCACACGGTCCCTAAGCACCACAGTCTGTGTGTCCTCATCCCCAAAACCAATAGGATCAAGGCTTGGACACCTGTCCCAGGAAATCTGAAATTGAGATGCTTAGAGACCGAGATCAGGGGGTTTCCCACTGATCAGCAGAATCACCCGGGCAGCTTTTCTGAACTAGAATTCTAAACCAGATTGATGACCTGCTGAATCAAAATGGGGGTGGGGGGTTGTACCCCAGAAATCAACTTGTTTCATAAGCTCCCCAGGAGTTGCTCATATGTACCCAGGTTTGGGGGTGACTAAGTTACCCCCTTAGGTGATCATGAACACCTGAACTGGAAGCTCATGTAGGGGTGCCTGGGAGGTTCAGTCGGTTAAACGTCTACCTTTGGCTCAGGTGATGATCTCAGGGTCCTGGGATGGAGCCCAGAGTCAGGCTCTCTGCTCAGCGGGGAGCCTGCTTCTCCCTCTGCCCCTCCCCCTGCTTGTGCACACACGCTCTCTCTCTCTCAAATGAATAAATTAAAAAAAAAATCTTTAAAAAAGAAAGAAAGAAAGTTCCTGTAGCCCTAGGCCTGGGCTGAGCACCGTGGCAAGCCCAAGCCATGAGAATGCAGCTGGGGAGGACATCAGTCCTCAGGGAAGTGCGAGACCAGGGAGCCGGAGAGAGGGGATGGCACCATCTCTAAGGCTGGACCCTTAGGCTTCCTTCAACAGACCTCTTTTTACTTTACTCATTTGAATGAGTTTTTGTTCTTTGCCAATAAAACCCATCCTTGAACACTTAACTATGTGCTCAACTCGACCCGTGGAAATGTCAGGTTTTTCACAACCACTATTACAGATCCCATTTTCTGGATGAGGAAACAGGTACAGAGAGGCAAGCAACGTGTCCCAAAGGAGAGAACCGTGAAGTAGCAGACCCAGGAGTCCAACTCAGGCCAGCTGTGCCATATAGGCCTATGCTCTGGAAGTCTGAACAAAAAAAAGGATGAACCCCAAGGCACAGACAGGAAACACCCTCATGGCTGGCTCGTGAGACATGATGAAAATACTAGTCACCCTGAGGACTATAAAAACAAATGGCACCATACGGCAGACGGGGTGGAGTGGATGCATGAGGATGTCTAGGATGGCATCTCCTCGGTGAAGTCTAACAGGCCTCATTTTAAGCGCTACAAATGCTTTTCTCATGGGTGGCATTGGGGCCGAGGATGAGGTACGCTACACGTTTTTTCGCTCTCAAATTAAAAAAAAAAAAAAGACAGGTATGAGGTCTAAGGAAGTTGATTAACCCAGAGACAGTGGAAAAGCGCCGCCACAGTCTCATCCAGTCACCCATGCACTTCCGTCCTCCCAGGGGCGTGAGGTGCGTGATGTCACTCGTCCTCGGTCCGTCCAACTCCCATCAGAATGGAGCTGGCCAAGAAGCACCAAACAGAAACACCAGAAACAGAAGTATTCACAACAAAAATAAGAGTACTCACTATAATAACGAGGGAGGTCTCGTAGCGGGGCCAAAACTCAGTCTCTGGGGTATTTTTGTTCAATTATTAGATTAGTAATAAAATACATTAAAAAAGATTTTTTAAAGAAAAATTCACTGGTAAGATGTCAATAAATGTTAAAAAGCCAGGCATCCATGTGGCCAGCCTCCTGAGGCAGCAGATTTTTTAAAAAACCATCTTGCGGGGACACCTGGGTGGCTCAGTCGGTTAAGCATCTGCCTTCGGCTCAGGTCATGATCCCAGGGTCCTGGGATCAAGCCCCGCATTGGGCTCCCTGCTCAGCGGGGAGTCTTCTGCTTCTCCCTCTTCCTGCCGCTCCCCGCTCCCCTGCCATGCTATCTCATATAAATAAATAAAATCCTAAAAACAACAACAACAACAAACAACCATTTTGCATTCACTTCGAGGTAGATACTAGACATACTGAGTAGCTCCCTGGACTCTCTGGCACTGAGTCCAGGGTTTATCACAAACCGGAACCCAAACCTTCTCTGAGGCTTGGCAGTGGCAGGCAGCAGACCCTGAAGCAGATCTACAGAATCCACAGCAGTCTGGGAGAAATAAATCTCTGGACTCAGATTTAATTTTTGCAAACCAGCCCAAGAGAAAAGAGAACAGCCCTGCCGGAGAACTGTGAATCCAGTTCTTGCAGCTGAGCCGGTGGAAGGAGCAGACTTCCTGAGCTGACAGATAAAATTAGCAGCTAATGTGATAACTAACCATTCCATAATGAAACAATCTGGCACCCTTGTCGGCATCCTGCTGTGGCTAATCTGTCCTGGAACTCGGTGCTAGCGCTGATGGGACTTCGCTCTCCAGGCTCCTGCTCTCAGCCTTCCCCGTCCGCTCACAGGTAAGGATGATGCATTCCCTCTCCGCAGCTGTGCTCTGGTGTCTTTAATGCACGGTCTTCCTACAGTCCCTGTGGCCCAGACCTCCCTGTCCAACACTAAGCCAGTGCTCTGAGGAACCCGGGAGGACATGGGAAGTAGATGAGAAAGGCTCAGGTACACTTGTACCGTTTGCCCGCAGAGTCCCCTCCACTCACCATGCAGGGAAGGAGGTGCTACTGGTCATGCTCTATGGTTCTCCCCACGGTCTCTGAACCACCGGGAAGGGACCAGAGCCTGGACCTGGGACAACCCAACCTATGCCGGGGAAACTCTGGGCTCGTCACTACCCACGCCACTTTCTCTTGGTCAAACACAGAAGGATGAGGAGACAGTGACCTTATGTATCTTGTTCATCCCAAAATGCCTGGCACCTGGAGCAGTACCTGGCCAGAAGTATATATTTGTGAAATGGGTGGGTGGATGGAAAGATGGACAGATAGATGGATGGACGGACAGTCACATGAGAGTGGAAATAAACCTTTTCTTCCCAGAGCTAGCGCTCCTTCTTGACTCAGGCCACAGTCATACAGGCTGAGTATTTTCTCAGGTACCCATAGGAAGGGAGGCAGGCAGAGACAAGGGAAAAAAGAGAGAAAAAGGTATCAATGCTCTGACCCTACATCATCACTGAACCCTGCCAAGTCTTCAGCCGTGGGGAAGACGTGAGCGAATGGACCCTTCTCCTACGCTGCAGGAGGAATTTTAGGCTGGTATGACTTTTCCTGGAAGACAGGTTGTGTCAAAAGCCTTGATTAACGTTCTAAGAGTTTATAGAAAACCATCATAGATGGTGCTCAGACAATTCTGTCTAAGGACAGTCACTGGAGGATTATTAACAAAATAGAAAATGAATTCACAAAAGCCCAACAGGTTTACTTTCTGGTCCATCCCTGATAATGGAGATTAACTCAGAAGACTGCCTCTTCCCCCGAGGATTTGGTATAAACCCATTAAGTTCAACCAAAAATTCAATGTGGAGTCATCAGTTGGGATTACATAGATTCAGAGAAGAAATGAGAACTACTCACCTTCTGCCTTACTCCTCGAGTTTCGCTGAATGTGTTGCTAACAGAAGAGCGACAACTTTTCACGTGCCCCAAGGGTACGTTAATCAAAAGATCCATCTTACTTCCGAATGGAGGAGACTCGGACGTTTGTTAAGACATTAATTAGTCCTTCCAATCCTGGCCCACCCACTTCCTCTTTCCTACTCCTCCTGATCTGATGCCCACTAAAAATTCAAAAGGACTAAATCACATCTCAAGTGGAATTTTCTGGAACCACATTCTGTGCTTTGTCAAGGATGGAAAGTGGAATGGGAGATCCAGCAAAACTAGTACTTATTTGCTACCTAATCTGAAGACAGTTAAAAAAAAAAAAAAATCAAGGAGGCGGCTTCGAAAACCCAATTAACCAGCTGTGTAAAGAAACGAACCACATCACAGTAGAGGAGTAAGTCAAGTTCTTTGTCTTGGCCATCACGTGAAGAAAGCTTGCAATCGAATCAAACTACAGGGCAGAGAATAAGGATGCTTCCACCAATACTGACACCACAGCGGAGAAAATTTTCTCCATGAAAGGAAACGGACATAAGCCCTGAAAAGTTCATTCTTGAAGCCTCTCGGTATGTGTTTAGTTCTGAACACGTCCAAGGTTTTCGCCTAGGAAGCTGGGGCTCAAGCGAACATCCTTCTCCCACCGTTCTCATAGACTGAAGCCACCAGATGTCACCAGCTAGTACACAAAAGCTTACCTGGTTCCTTCTGCCAATCCGATTTGGTCCTGGAGGCTTCGTGGGGGACTTGGTGCTCTGGGGGCTTCCGCCATTCTCGGCGACCTTCCCTACACTCATTACCGCTGACATCATGGTGTTGACGGAAGACAAGTCTGAACCTTCCAAGCCAATGGGCGAACTTGACGTCATTGGGTCAAAGGTTTAAGCTTCTAAGAAGCCTCTGTCATAGAACTGAAAATCGGAAATCGCTGCGTTGGTCACTGTGAGGTTTAGCGTCTGTCAGAGCCAAGGGGCACTGGCCATGGCTACCATAACCGTGAGTCAGGTCAAAACACCTAAAACCCTCCTTCTTCGGTTCAAGCTGACGCTCGTGCCCAAAATGACTTAAGCTTTCATGCGAATGAGGCATGGTCATGCCAGAGACTGATAACCTCGCTTCCTTTCTGAGCGGATGCACCGACACAACCCCCGAAACCAGCAGACGCAGGTCTCTCGGCTTTTCCTATTCTCTCGTTAGGCAGAGTGGGAGAGGCTAAGCCAACAATTAGGAAAGCCCAGGGAGCTGACGTTTGGCCAGCCCCCTCCTCATAACCCTAACTCATTTACTACTGTATGAATGTTCTAGACTTAACAACTAAGGATCATCAGGTCTCACTTAACTCCACTGCTTACAATACGGTGATTTTACAGGGGAGCCCGGAGCCCAAACTGTAGAAGACAACTGAGAAGCCAATCCTATCAGATTTATAACCAAATTTCAAATCAACATAAAAAAAGACTGTTGCTTAAAATATACAAGTAGGTAATGCACCTATACCCCAGAAAGTGGACAGAAGAACCCAGCCCCGACTGCCGATTACCTCCATTTTCTGCCCCAACTGATACACTATGAGACTTTCCCCTGCTATAGCTATCATCCACGTGGAGTAGGAAAGGAGTCTGCGTTCGCTTCTTTTTTTTTCTTCTCTTGTATCACTTGTTGACACTGGAAGGGAAGCAAAGGCAAAAAGATTCAGTGAATGTCTTTTCACTTCGGGAAGAAAAAACTGAAACCATGTATTTGTCGTAATCTCAGGCCACTCTATTCAGGAGAATACACAAAAGGGAGGCGATTTTAAGTCATCCTTCCAAAACCACATTCTGTGGTTGTTTTTTCAACCTTTAACTGATGTTCCCTACAGGCTGTCACCCTCACTCCCAACAGCCAAAACGATTTTGTGGTATTTTACTTTCTGGGGCTCACCCACACTGAATTTTCCTTCATACCCTACACCGCAGCCCCCCACAAGCAATCAAGACTCCCACTTGACCCCCCTTCCCGCCTCTACCTAAAACTGACCGAAGATAAGGCAGGAAAGGAACTCACGGAAGTCTCATGGTCTAGAAGGTATTAGGTCAGACCTAAAAAGAAACCTGGTGACATGAACAGAATGACCAAATGGAACACCCACGGCTCATGGACATGTAGCCTTTTCTAGTTCCATACCTGACCACGGCTATAGGTATGGCCAGAAATAAGTCTGCAGGTTAAACTACTTCCCTCATTTGATCTGGGAAGATATTCCAGAGCCAGAGCCCCGCCTGTAAGCCACATATCCTGTTATCCCACGGCGTGCCTCAACTGGACTTGTAGTCAAAGATCAAGCTCCTTATCTCAGCAGCCAAGTGAAGGCTTAGAAACACCACCAGAAAGAACATGATTTCTTGTGGTTTCCTCCTCCAACTTCAAGGGGATGTGACCTAGGATATGACAAATGGTAACACCCAGAGCAGCTACAAATGTGTCCAGCAGCACAGTGGGAAGAACCTGGGGATATAACTTTATTAAGTGATGCTGCCATCAGCTGAGAAGTCTCAAGCTAAAATCTTACCAGAAGAGCCAAAGAAAGTCTCAGGAACAGTACTTCTCTAGCCAAGAGACAAAATGTGCCTTCCTTGTGGACAGACATTTTGAAGATAGGGTGGTAACGGGTTTCCAAATGGTAAGTAAAAGGACTAGCTGCCGAAACATGCAACTGAAGATAACTTGACCGAGCCGAACCCCACACATCTTTCCCACAAAGGGCGAAGAGCTACATCCAAAATTAAAGAAAAAACCAAACTGCTGCCCTGTGAGGTTTCGCCATGCAAGGAGGCCATTAAAAAATGTGCTTCAAACTTCCTGTTTTTAACGGTCTTTGAAAATCTGGGAGATTTCTGTCTAGGAAAAACAAGCACACACATGTAAGCACGCATACACACACGCACACATGATTTCTTTCTTACTGCATTTCTAAAAGTATCATCAGTTCCCTAGAACTGTTGTAATCAATCAGCACATAATTATCTGTTTGACTCAAATAAATGGATACCTTCAATCCTAAAACCACCTAGTTCTTTCAAATGTATTTCCTCCATAGTTTTATGTACAGCAAATTATAAAATAGCTGACCATAATTCTTTATTGTAATTACGTTATGTCAGTAAAAAGAAAGTTAACCTTTCTAGCGGTTTACAGGAAGACTTTAGAAGATAATCTTGCTTTTGTCCTAATACTACACTTAGGAAAGAAAAATGTGGTAGTTTACTGAAATCTGGGAATAGGTTAAACACCTCTAGGACGAAATGTAAAATTGTAAGTTGTAAAAATTATATTCTAATTCTATCATTGAGTAGGGAAAGAAAATGGACAGCGAAGACACAGTCAACATAAAAATTAAAATTATAAATATAAAATCAAAAAATATATTCATGTAACAGAGCCAGATTACTAGTAAGAATTTTCTTTACCGTCATTATAACATCAAACAGAGATTCTTGCAAACACCCAAGTGTCTTCAATATACAATACCTAACCATAGCCTTGGTACTAAACAACATAAGGGCTGAACGTTGCAAAGGCTTATCCCAGTTGGAAAAGAAGAAAAGCCATGCAAACTTGTTGTTTCCCATTTTGTCTGGACAGGAAAACATTTGCTACATTTACTTCCTCCTTGGGGATCGAAGTGTAAAGCATGACACTACCAAGATCATGGACATTTACTTCCTTTACCTTGTATACATGTAAGTAGCAATATATTTTTTTAATAGAAACTTTTCATCTCTGATCAGAAAGTGCAGTTAGCAAAAAGAACCCGCCGACTACACTGAAAAGAAGAGCACAGTTATTAGACGCATCCCTGAAAAGCTGTTTCAGAAGCAACCCACGCCAGCCCCAAGGAGCTAAAGGTTTTTACTCCTGTTTGCTCTTGCATCTTATACTTGAGTTCTTTCTCCCTTTGGGAGGATGTAACAGGGAAGAAGGGAAAGGACCCGGTATAAAATAAGGTAGCTCATTGTTGGGGCACCTGGGTGGCTCAGTCGTTAAGCGTCTGCCTTTGGCTCAGGTCATGATCCCGGGGTCCTGGGATCGAGCCCCTGCATCGGGCTCCCTGCTCAGCGGGAAGCCTGCTTCTCCCTCTCCCACTCCCCCTGCTTGTGTTCCCTCTCTCGTTGTGTGTGTCTCTGTCAAATAAATAAATAAATAAATAAATAAATAAATCTTTTTTTTTAAAAAAAAAAAAGGTAGCTCATTGTTCCAGGTTATGGGGGAAAAAAAAAATCCACCTTAGCATTAAGGCACATCTGTGCACTAATTTAACCAGAGGCCGGTTGGCCAGTATTAGTTAATTCTATCTACGCTGGACTATACCGGGGCAATAAGCCAAACTAACCAACCTAAAACTTCTGAGGTTTGACCTCAGGGATGAAAGAGAAGTTGCACAGCTTAAGGTCCATTTACAAAACATATTTTTCTTTATGGATATTAATAGTCTTGGTATCTTCGTTCTTTCCTTTGCTCCCTGATACCATCCTACACATCAGCCCCACTACCAGGGGATAGCAAATAACAACAACAATAAAATGATGACAATAAACAAAATAAAAATCACTGGCCCCATTCTAATACAGTGTGCTCCAACTGGAACCAGAGAGGGCTGGGAGCCCAGGTTAAGTTCCCAAATCATGGATAAGAAAAGAAGTCGTCATCTTCATTGACATGGCCAAGTGGACTTGCCTGGAGTTCCAGTTTTTAACACAAACAGTCTGAATTTGGCGGGGGGGGGGGGGGGGGGGGGGGGGGGGGGAGGCGGAGCAGGGAACAGGGGTGTCTGAAACACTGCTTCCTGTGAAACCAACACTCGACCCTCTTTGCGATTCCTCATCCCACACTTCAGACCCGCTGGATCAGGAAGGGCTAGCAATTCAGGGCTACAATTTCACTGTGGTTTTGCATCAAAGCCTCAGGAGGATCAGGGGGAAGAAAAAGGGCAACTTCATAGGGAATGTGGGGAAGGGAGGGGAAGGGAAAGGAAGACTCAACACTCCAAGTTATTGTGACTCCAGGAAAGTCAATCAAGTTTAACTGACCTGTTTTCGTCGTCTTATCAAGCTGGCCCTCCTTACTGAGGGGCTGGCGCGGCTGGAGCCCAGACGTGGGCAGGGTCACACGTCAAAGCTACCACCTCTGGAGCACAGAGTTGAAGCAACCTGCGCAAATGAGAAAAGGTGACGTGAAGGGAGAGTCAAGACCAGAAATGATCCCGTCCTCTGTATCTTTTTCTCCACTTAACACCGGGAGTCACAAGGACAACGGAACGTTTCCCATCCCCGCCCGCGTGCATAAGCAAGCTTCCAGCTCCCAGGCAGATTCCTCCCAGAGCCACTCATCAGCATGTGAGCCAGGGCCACCGGAGTCCAGTGTGCCTCGGACAGACAGGAACCCCCCAAAGCACGCCCCACGTGTGGGGTGCACTGGGCACCACACCGCATGAGAGCAGCTCGGACCGCTGGCCCCAGGCGGAGCTCTGGGCATCTCAGGGCATGTTACCAGCCGCTGCTGATGCACTTCCGGTTTCAAGGGCAGCCAAGAAGAAGACAGCACTAAGTGCTATCAGCAATGGAGGGGAAAGGAGACAGTTGGAGAGAGTGAACAACATGGAACCAAACAGTCCCTTAATGTGAAGGACAGTTGAGTAGACCTTCTCCCGAGTGACAGGGGAAGTGCCCACGACCGTTCAGAGAGGACCAAGTGCGCATCTTCTCCTTTACTGTAGGGAGGATACAGAAAACTTCTCAAGTGACACATGCCCCCCCACCAAGAGTTGGAGCAAGTCTGCTCTGGGGGGGCCAGGGGCCTCCAATGCCTGCCCTGGGAGAAAGCTGGCCGCCCTGGAATGCAGCCTTCCCCAGCCTTTCCCAGAGCTGCAGTGTTCAGCCACATTCTCTGTTTCTGAAAACGCCATCCCCCTGAACTGAGGAGTGCCCAAGTGGGAGACCGGAGGACGTAAATCAAACCGCCACACAGACAAAGCCTGTCTCGAGAAACACTTGGCTTGGCCCATTTTCTCATTTTTATCCCCTTTCGGAGCGTCTGGAGGAAAGCTGCTCAATCAGGTCACACGCCCAGTTATCATCTTGAATGTTACTCAGCTTTGTCGGCCCCGGGTTCCGGAGCACCTCGGGCAGGCAAGCCCCCTGCTGGACTGGTCGGTTGGGGGGAGAAAGTGCCACCAACGGAGATTTCTGACATGTGAACACTCTACACCTCATTGTCTCAATTCTCCATCTTTTCTCTTCTGCCCCTTCTCCTTTTGCAAGGTTCTTTGGATTTTGAGCCAAGAAACAAGCAGTGACTCATAGGGATAGCCCCCGGATGGGACCGAGACCTTGTAAGCCTTGAGGAATCCTTGTTACTACCCCAGTAATTCTCAACGGTTTGGTACGGGCAAGAACCTCCTTAAGGGTCTGATTAAAAAAAAAAAATCATGGACCGTTCCACAGGAAAATGCACATACGCTACCTACCCCCAACATTTCCCTTCAGCATCAAGACTTCAGGGACCCCAGAAACTCATCCTGGGGGCAAGCAGGATAAGAATCCTGTTTTTATTTGACATATAACCCACCTTCCTTTAAACTATGAATCAAGTCAAGCTTATTAAAAGTCCCATGAGGTTTTAGAAATGCACAAAACATCCTTTCAGATCATCCCCGCCCAAACTTAAAGATGCCTAGGGTGAAGTGAAACACTGTGGAAGGAAAAAAAAAAAAACAAAAACCCACAAAAAACAAGCCAGATTTCCCTCTGTTATTATTCATTTCTTAATTCACAGCAAATTTTAAGCAATTTTTTAAAAGATTTTATTTATTTGAGAGAGGGAGAGCAAGAAAGAAAGAACATGAGTGGGGGGAGGGGCGGAAGGAGAGGGAGAAGCAGACTCCCCGCTGAGCAGGGAGCCCAACAAGGGGCCAGATCCCAGGACCCTGAAATCATGACTGGCTGAGCCAAAGTCAGACGCTTAACCGAGTGAGCCACCCAGGTACCCCTCACAGCAAATTGTAATAGGCAGAAAGTCTGGAGAGGGACAGCTCCATTATTTTCTAGAAACTACCACAATCTCCAAATAAGTAGGGTGAATTATAGTTCTATATATAATTATTAAAAACACACATCAGAGAGACGAGTCTCTGGAATTTAAACTTTCCAGAATATAATAACTAAGACTCTCATTAACATTTGAACTTGTTCCCTCCCCTCATTTAAAAAGTACACCAAGTAATCAATCTCCTCAGTACACACCGGTAACCAGAGTGGGAGAGCGCCAACCCAACACACTTGACCCTGAAACTTCCATCTTCTGATCTTGGATGGAAAGGATTTGAATATTGAGGATGCCTTGCAATTAAAGCTGAGTAACAAGAGTCACTACCCTGTCTGTTTGGGGTTCTACCAGGTCTGAGGGATTCCTAGAACTCAGCAAGTGGAAAAGTACAGCGTAGTCCTTGGCAGAAAATTCAAGATACCCCTCACCCCTATCACCATTGCCTCAGGGGGGTGGGGGGGGCAGAGAGAAGAAGAAGGAAAAAGGGGGAAAAAAAGACCAGATCAGGAGAGGCTGTGTCCTGGAAGGTGACTCCTGCAGGGCAATGTGAGAAGCACAGCCTGGGAATTTGGAGGGGTGGGTCTTAGGACTCCCCCTGGGAGGATGCTGAACTTCGGAGTTTGCATTCCCACACAGGCTCTGCCCAGATCCAATGGAAGCAGGATGACTGGAGAGGGCAGAGGTCCATCTGTGAGGATGAGGGGGCAGGGAAGGCCGGCCTCCAGCCCCTGGCCCCTGAGGAGATAAGGGACAATGCTATGTAAAGCCAGAAAGAAAAGATTAAGGAGCCTGTCTCCAGGTCCAACGAGATAGCAAAGGGGAGATGAAAGATAAAAAGGAAGATGGTCTAGAAACAAAGCTTCTCAGCTTCTGAAAGCCCAAAGGATTCTTCAGTGAAATCTAAAATCTGTCCTAAAGGCCTGCAGGACAGATGGGGGTAAGTTAGATGCCTAGGATGACAGTAGAGGCCCGCGGATGCTATAATAGGGAAATTTACAACATGGGGCCCGGGAGAGCCACGCTGCTGAGCCTAACAGACGTCCACAAATACTTGGGATGGTTGACCCGCTGACTGGAACCGCCTAGTGAACAGTCTAGCTGGCCTGTTTGGGCCAACCCAGGACAGGCTCAAAGAGTCTGAGTTAAGAGGAGTTCAGCGACTAAAGTGCTCTAGCTCCTAGGGAGCTTTACAAGCAGCAAGGACGTCTCTCTTAGAATGGGCTAAGTCAGAAAGGAAAACACTCTTCCCTCAGTCTTAGCTAGGCTGGGGACAAAAGGGACCAGACGAGATGTCGCACCACGGCGATGCCCGTTCTCCCTGGCCTGCAAAGCTCGGGGCAAACCCGTTTCCTCTAACCAGGATGGCCTCGTGTGTGCTGTGAAGGCTGACAGCTGTGATGGTGTTCTGAGCTCCAGGAAGCTGATGTGTTTCCTGGCGATGGGCTCAGTCTATGCCTTGCACGGGGCAGCAACCCAGGCAAGTCACCATTACCCCCTCACTGGCATGGGCTTTGGTCGAACGAGGCCTTGGAGTGTCCCATGGAACACTCGAGCAGGCTGGGCCGACCTGGGCACCGTAAGCTGCTCTGGTCAGTTCTGCATCCTCCCCGCAGCGTGAGGAGGGACGGCTAAGACCAGGTATGTGGGCCCTCCCATTGGGCTGCCTTCCGAGGTCTGCCTCCAAAACATCCCCCCCACCCCCTTTCACCCCCTCAAGACGACAGGAAGTAGTGAGATCCCTCAGGGGCCACTCTGCACACAAAGCCTCCGACGTTCCCACTGAGAATTCCTGAAGCTCTCGGTTACAAAACTCTGACTCTGCAATATTAGGACTAACACAACTAATGATGTCGATGGCGGCTACTGAATTTTGACTGTCACTTGGCACACGTTAAGTGCAGTATCTCACTGAATCCTCCTAGCCACACCCGAGGAGAACTGGTCCCACTGTGCAGATGAGGAAACTAAGGTGCAGGGGGTTAAGCAACCTGCCCCCAAGATCACGGTGGTAGAGAAAAGTGAATCCAGCTTCTAAATGCTGCTCAGTTTCTTCTGGACAAAATCTGCCACCCTGGCACAGGGCTTGGGAGAACAGATGCACTCCCTCAATCACATTTCTCTGACTTGTCACAATCATACTCGGAGTCACTTCTGCCCTTCCAGACTGCTCGGCACCTGGCCTCGCATTTCTGCCTTTTTCTAGGCAGGGAAAGGAGCTCTCTCCTTACACCTTCACCTCCACCTTCCCCTCTCTGGCAGGATGCACGGCTGAACTCCCACCTCAGACTAAAAAGTTCACTGCACAGGGCAGGAGTTTGCAAGCACTCACTGCCCTTTGCTGTGCAAAGGGATGGGGGGTG